CTAGATCCTCATATATCACCATGTACCAGATTCAACTCCAAGTGGATCAAAGACCTCGGAGTCAATGCAGACACTCTGAAAACATTACAGTATGGAATAAGAGAAACCCTAGGTCTCCTTAACACAGGATGAAATTTTCTTAAAAGAGACCCATAAACACAACAAGTCAAAGAAAGGTTGGACAAATGGGATTGCATGAAATTGCAGAGCTTCTGCATGGCAAAGGACATAGCTAGCAAGATCAATGGAAAGCCCACGGATTGGGAGATCTTCACTAGCCATACAATGCACAAGGGTCTCATATCTAAAATATACCTGGAACTCAAAAAATTAAATCCCCCCAGCAACAAATTCTCAAAGAAACTACTGCCCAATAAATAAGTGGGCTAAGGACGTAAAGAGAAACTTCTCTGAAGAGGAAAGAAGGATGGCCAATAGACACAAGAAGAGATACTCAACCTCTTTAGCCATAAATGAAATGCAAATCCAAACAACATTGACATTCTGCCTCACACATTAAAATGGCTATAATCAAGAACTCTAATAACAACAGATGCTGGAGAGGATGTGGAGAGAAGGGAAGCCTACTGCATTGTTGGTGGGAGTGTAAACTTGTTCTACCACTTTGGAAAATAGTATGGAGGTTGCTCAAAAGATGCCACATAGAGCTCCACTATGACCCAGCAATCCCTCTTTTGGGCATTTACCCAAATGTTCACAAACAAGACCACACTAAAGCTACCAGCACAACTATGTTTATTGCAGCATTATTTACCATAGTAAGATATGCAACCAACCCAGATGCCCCTCAGTAGATGAATGGATCAAGAAAATGTGGTATATATACACAATGGAATTCTATGCCTCCATCAGAAAGAATAACATTGCCCCATTTGTTAAGAAATGGAAAGACTTGGAAAAAATTACAGTAAGTGAAGTAAGCCAAGCCCAAAGAAACATAGGTACTATGGTTTCCCTTATTTGCAATAACTAGTATATGTCTGAGACAAGCAGAAATGGATAGATAAATTGATGTTAGGTGAAATGAACCTCAAGATAAGGATTCCAATGTTTTTTTTTTCTTTCTTGCGATCGTTTCTAATATATTTGTAAGATGATTTCTTTGTTGCTTTGTCTGTCCCTCCCCCATGATATAACCCCTGTTTTCACTGTATTTGATGTGGGTATAATTTTTGGAGGGGAAGAAAAAAAAACAAATTGTTTAAAGAGGGATACAGGTAGACCCATTGCAACAATGCAATGTACCAGTTGTTATATTGAAAAACTGACTTTACAACTTTGGCCGGGGAGGTGGGGTGGGAGTGGGGCAGATGGGAAGGGATAGGAAGGGGAAATAAAGAAGGAGGCAACAATGCTTGATAAGAAATGCACTCATTACCTTGCTCATGCAATTGTAACCCCTCTGTATGGTATTTTCACAATTAAAAAAAAAAGTACTCCTTTACTGGTTTCACGTTAATTCCATCCTTTTCCATCCAGGATTTCTCTCAGTCAATAGAGAAATATAATATAATTACATGAAACTCTGTGTATTATCATAATCTCACAAGTTGGTATGAGATGTCTCTGATATAATAGTCCAGGCAAAGATTCATGGAAATATTTTTTGTCGTAAAGGAGATTTTTTTAAAAATTGATAATGAAACACAATCTAATTTCTTCTTTTGAATTTCATAATAGCAATTTACCTAGTGTTGCTGTTCACACAGCGAGACCTGGGAACTCGGTTTCTGGTAGGCAGAAAGAGACAATACCACGCTGGTATAGACAAAGTTTATTAAAACATCATACACATGTATAAGCCATAGAGGCAGAGATGGTAAGTCTGTAGTCAGGAGACAGTTACAGGATAGCCATGAGACAATCGCGGGACAGAAAGTTGACCTTCTTGGGGAATGTGGAAAATTAGCAACTTTTAATCAGTGATTGGAAAAATTGTTCAAGGTAATAAAAGAAGAAGCAAGGTGCAGGTGGGGCTCCATTAAAAAACAAAAGGATATGAGACCCTTGTGGGGCTATTACGACTTGCAGGAAAGGTCAGATAATTTGATGTTAGGTGAAATGAACCCCAAGATAAGTATTCAAATGTTTTTTTCTTTCATGCGATTGTTTCTAACATATTTATAAGATGATTTCTTTGTTGCTTTGTATGTCCCTCCCCCACGATATAACCCTTGCTTTCACTGTATTTGATGTTGGTATAATTTGTGGAGGGGAAGGGAAAAAACAAATCGCTTAAATAGGGATACCGGTGGACTCATTGCAACAATGAGATGTACAAGTCGTTATTTTGAAAAACGAACTTTACAACTTTGGCGTGAGGGGAGGAATATAGGGGTTGAGGGGGGATATGGAAAGGTATAGGAAGGGGAAACAAAGGAGGAGGCAACAATGCTTGATAAGAAATGTACTCATTATCTTGCCCATGTAATTTTAACTCTTCTGTATGTTATTTTCATTTAAAAAAAAAGGAATCTTGAGGCATAATGCTACACAAAGAACTAGGAGGAGCACGAATGGCACTTTCCAAAAACCATCACCTGAGTCTGGCACTGGGCACAGGCCCTTTGCCCCGCATGGAGGAAGGGGTATCCCCTTTCCCCCCCGCAGAGTAATGCATGCCAGCACACACCCTTAGGGCACACAGGAACTCAGATGGGGTCTTGAGAGCCCATGCCTTCGTCAACCTAGTTTCATTTTTAGCAAGATTCTTTCTTCAGAAACTATTTTTACTTTTATTGAAAATATAAATACATTCCCTAACCAGAGCAAGCTGATTTATGGAGAGTTTTAATAAAACTTGCATGAAACCTAACCCTTTTAAAAGTTTTCTATATTTCCATTTTTATCTCTAGTTCTAAAATTATGTCATTACAAAGAAATTTAAAAATCGGTTTTTGTTTTATACTATTCTTGCATGAATTGAAACAAATCAAACAAATATTCATTTGTTTATCTTTCAATAGTTACATATTAAGAATTTACTCTATCAATACTTTTGCAATGAAGCTTTTAATGTAAGCAACAGGATGTGCCCTTTCCAAATATCCCTTTCCAGAAGAAATTCAATAATTTGAAATAAATTCATTTTACTAAACTCCAACAGGTCTCACAGTTATAGACCCTTGTAATAAAAGTAATAAGTGTGCTAAGAAATCTCTCCATGACTATTTCCCATACCAAAGCTTCTGAAGCATAGTCATAAGTAAAACTTTTACATGTGTTCTTTGAACTTGCTTTCAGAACTTCTGGTTCAAGATTGAGGTTGGACAATATTTTCTGTATTCAAAGGTACTCCAATTGATCATAATGAAACTGTCTCTAAAACTGCCTCTAAGAGAATTCATACCAGAGAGTCTGACATTGCAAAAGTGAAAAATATTTCTTTATAGTGGATGCGAAGAGCTAGAAAGAACTTCATTACCAATTTCACAATGTGGTAAAGAGAGAAAGCATCAAGTTCACAACTTTTCTAAAGCCTTCTGGTTGCTAGCATTGAACAGCTTCTTATCAAACCTAAGTAAAAAGGGAGACAGATGTTGATTGACACAAACAAGCACTGAGTTTTTGGAGTGAGATGTGGCACCTACACATTAAAATTTCAGTTAATGTAATTGGTGGGCAATTAGATCTTTACTCCTGGGGCCTCAAATTTAGGAACGATATCTTATATATGGTTTTCCTTTATAATTGCAGTAAACATTTTCTAAGTCATCCTGGCACAAGAAATGGGAAAAGGAGATACTAGATGCTCAGACAACAGCCAAAATCCATGAAGAACTTTCTTGCAAGTCCTCTTTCTTCTCAGTCCTAACAGTCTAAGTACTTATGTGTATGAAGAAGAAATGGGAACAAACCACAACAAAAAATATATTGTGCTTAGGGAGTTGTGAATGGAGAAAACACCATCCTCTACCACCAGAGTAGGATGCATACATTCATACAGAGTTGAGAATTACAGTCTTAGAAGCAAGTAACATTGAGAAAACCATACTCCAATTCATACAAGGAATGTAACCTAACACTGGGGTTTAATTAAAATACAGACAAGTCTTTCAATCTCTACTATAAACCTAAAAGGGTAGAACAACATGAAATTTGCCAAGAGAAATAATATTAAGGAAAAAAATGACTGAGATTGGAGCATATATTGATAAAATCTCTCTTATAAACGCACTCCAACTTTAAATGCTAGAAGAATATATAGCCTATGGTAGCATGAGAGTAACTATAGCAACAATTAACTTCAAAGCCTTCCCATACCTAATTATATTAACAAGAACCGTTGAACTAGAGACCCAGGAAAAGGAAAAGGCACATAATTTTCCAGGCATAAAAATAAATTACCATGTTTCTATTTTCCTATACAAAATGTTTAGCTTTCAGAAAAGCTTTTCAGAGCTTAGGAAATGGAAAAACTAACATATTCCCAAGAGACAAGGGAAAATAATTAGAAATATACATGGCATAAATTTTGGCTAACTTATGGAGAATTTGAAGTGCTTATAATTAGTATATTGAAAGCATTAAAATCTCTACAAATATGTGGAAAATGTGTAAAAGTAAAAGAGCCATTCAAGTAGAGAAGTAGTATCAAAGATCAAAACAATCAAAACAGAAATAAAGATATGATTACAAAGTCTTCAATGGATTTATCTGTAAATGTGGCCATGATAAGAATCATTGAGCTTCAAGGTAAGTTTAAGGAAAAAGAGTGAAAATAAGAGAGCCAGGCATTCATAAGCAGAGAGACATTTCTGGACTTGAAATCCCATAAAAGAAAGAAGAAAAAGATGAAGAAGAAATATTTAAAGTAATAATGGTTAAAAATTTCTCCCAAATAATAACAGAAACAAAACCAAGCATACAAGAAGCTCAGCGGTGCCAGAAGGAAATATGTCAAAGTAGAATATTGGCATGAGGACTAAATAGAAGGACTCAATGCTCAACTCCTACTACAAAAATATTTCTACTTCAAGATGGATGAGAAAAGAATTCTAAATTCCAAAAAAGGACAGAGGAAAAACTACGAGTCAGAAAAAGTGAGATCACAGCATAAAGACTGCAGTAAAGCAAAGAGGCATTTTCAATCTCGGTTTTTTACCAAAAAATGATAAATTACAAGAATTCAGTTAAGTTCCTTCAACAACAGATATTAGGGAAAAAAACTATTAACCACGCTCATGAGTCTATTTATCCCTAAGATGAGAAGATATTATATCATATACAAATGAATAAATGATGGATTTCAAGAATGAATGACAAAATTATTTGACAACCTCTTTAGATGCATAAAAAGCATTAAAAAATGAATTCTTCCTCATAATAAATACAATTTACACATTACATGTAATAGTAATCTATCTCAGCACAATGAAGGGGCAACTGACAGACAACATGACAGTGAATGGGAAAAAAACAAAAACAAAAGACTTTCTGTAAAACATAGATCCAGATAAGAATGCCAATTCTTGAGCAAGATGGCATAGGTACAGCTTGGGGATAACTGAGCTCTCACAAAGAAACCGATTTTAGTGTTCTAGTGAAAAGTCAAGGCTAGCGGTTCATACCAAGGGAGCCATCATAATGCAGAGATTTGTGCCAGAGAAGAAAAATTCAGGAAGCCTGTTTAAGGAGACAGATATGAGCACTTGCTGGTGACTGCCTTTATATCACCAGACAGAGCCTGGGACAATGGTGCCAGAGACAGAGTGTGAGTGGCTTCTACTCACTATCAGCATGAACTGACAAGGAGTGGAAATACTCATCCTACTGATGATAGAAGGACACAGATCATGGATAGACAGAAAACCAAGAGAAAGACATGAGTACCACACAAGACATACTCACTCCTGGTCATAGAATAGCGTTTGGAAGGTAGCCCTTCCCGCACCACCTGAGAAGAATGACATTTTTGATACTGGCAGATAATGGACAACAAGCCAATCCCCAATCCAGTAGATCGAAACAAATGATTAAAATTAAATTAGAATTAAATGAAAGAGTCCAAAAAACATAGAAAGAATCAATAAAAGAGAGTTGTTTCTTTGAAAAAAAATAACAAAATTGAGTGACCCTAAGCAAATTTTCTTTAAAAGAAAGAAGAAACACACCCGAAAAAAACAAAATCAGAGATGAGAATGGAAACCACCACTGAAACAACCAATATTCAGAACAATATAAGGGAATACTTCTCAAATCTTTATGTTGACAAATTTGAGAATATGGAAGAAATGGAAGAATTTCTAGGAAATATTTATATCCCCTAACTAAACCCAGAAGATTTAAACCAAATACATGGACCCATATCAAGCATTGAAATAGAAACAGCAATAAGGGTCCTCCCATCCAAGAAAAGCCCAGGACCAGATGGATTCACAACTGAACTATACAGGGCCTTCAAAGCTGAATTCACACCAATATGCTTCTAATTCTTTAATGAAATTTAAAGCAAAAGCTCACTACCAAACTCATAACCCTTGTCCCAAAATGAGACAGGTACTCATCAAAAAAAGAGAACTATAGACCCATTTCTATGATGAAAATCAATGCGAAAGACTTAAAGAGAAACTTCTCTGAACAGAAAAGAAGGATGGCCAATAGACACATGAAGAAATTCTCAACCTCTCTGGCCATAAAAGAAATGCAAATCAAAACAATATTGAGATACCACCTCACCCCAGTTAGAATGGCTATAATCAATAACTCTAATAACAACAGATTCTGGAGGGGATGCAGACAGAAGGGAACCTTACTGCATTGTTGGTGGGAATGTAAACTTGTTCAACCACTTTGAAAAGCAGTATGGAGGTTCCTCAAAAGACACCACATAGAGCTCCCCTATGACCCAGCAATCCCACTTTTGGGCATTTACCCTAATGTTCACAAACAAGACCACACTAAAGCTCCCAGAACGACTATGTTTATTGCAGCATTATTTACTATAGCTAAGATATGGAGCTAACCCAGATGCCCCTAACTAGATGAATGGATCAAGAAAATGTGGTATATATACACAATGGAAATCTATGCCTCCATCAGAAAGAATGTCATTGCCCCATTTGTTAGGAAATGGAAAGACTTGGAAAAAAAGTGTATTAAGTGAAGTAAGCCAGGCCCAAAGAAACATAGGTCCCATGGTTTCCCTTATTTGCAATAGCTAGTATATGTTTGAGTCAAGCAGAAAAGGTCAGATAAGTTGATGTTAGGGGAATGAACCCCAAGATAAGTATTTAAATGTTTTTTCCCTTTCATGCAATTGTTTCTATCATATTTATGAAATGATTTCTATATTGCTTTGTATGTCCCTCCCCCACGGTATAACCCCTGCTTTCGCTGTATTTGATGTTGGTATAATTTGTGGAGGGGAAGGGGAAAAAACAAATCGTTTAAGTGAGGATGCAGGTGGACCCACTGCAACAATGAGATGTACAAGATGTTATGTTGAAAAACGAACTTAACAACTTTGGTGGGGGGTGGGGAGAGGACAAAGTTGGGCGAGCGGAGGAGTATGGGAAGGGATGGGAAGGGGAAACGAGGAGGCAACAATGCTTGATTAGAAATGTACTCGTTATGTTGTCCATGTAATTGTAACTCCTCTGTACAGTATTCTCCGAATAAAAAAATTAAATCTCCCCAAAATTAATCCTCAAAAACACATCTGCCCAATTAACAAGTGTGCTAAAAAAGAGATATTTCTCTGAAGAGCAAATAAGAATGGCCAATAGACACATTAAGTAATGCTCAACATCTCTGACCATAAAAGAAATGCAAATCAAAACAACATTGGGATTCCACCTCACTTCAGTTAGAATGGCGATAATCAAGAAATATAATAACAGATGCTGGAGGGGATGTGGCCAAAACGGAATCCTGCTGTATTGTTGGTGGGAGTGACAACTTCTTCAACAAATCTGGAAAGCAATATGGAATTTCCTCCAAAGAGTACACATAGAGTTCCCCTATGACCTAGCAATCCCACTTTTGGGCATTTACTTGAATGATCACAAATAAAACCATACTAAAGCTACCAACACAACTATATTTATTGCAGCATTATTTAGTATAGCTAAGACATGGAACAAACCCAGATGCCTCTCAGTAGATGAATGGATCAAGAAAATGTGACACACAGACACAGACACACACACACAGACACACACATACACACAGAGACACACACAGAGACACACACAGAGACACACAGTCACACAGACACACACACACACACACAGACACACATACAGACACACACACACATATATATATACATATACATGTAATATATATATATATATATATATATATATATATATATATATCCCTCCATCAGAAAGAATGACTCCATTCCATTTGTAAGGAAATGGAAAATCTTGGAAAAAATCATATTAAGTGAAGTAAGCCAGCCTCCAAAATACATAGGTGCTATGGTATTCCTTATTTGCAATAATTTGTATATGTCTAAGATAATCTAAGCAGATGAGCAGAATAGCTCAATAACTATGTACATAATACCATATACGATGATGCTAAGGAAAGTGAACTCCAAGACATGGACAGAAGAGGTTTTTCTTTGTTGTTGTTTATAATATACTTTGTGATTTTTTTGTTTCTTTTGTATGTTCTTTCTCCTGTGGAATAACCCCTTTTTGTCACTGTTATTTGATTTTGGTACTCTGGTTTTGTATATACGTTTATGTGAATTAGGGAAGAGAAGGGGAACAACAGAATGGTGAGACAAAAGACAAGTGGGGAAACCAATGCCACAGCAACATACACAAGACAATATGTATGAAAATACCTGTACAACTTAGGGTGAGGGTGCAGAAAAGAAAGAGAAAAATGAGATAAGGGAGTAACAAGTTTGACAAGAAATGTACTTATTAACTTATTTATGTAAATATAAACCCACTGCACATTATCTTGACAATACAAAAGTTTAAAGAAAATGAGTTTAACAAAGAGTGTCAACTCTCACGACTCTTATTCCTAAGATTACTGGAAAGTTTAGCCATAATAAATAGGCAAGTGAAATAAAATAATATGCAGGCAAGTTGGAAGACAATAAACCCATCCCTGTTAACAAATTTTGAATTGTGAACTCAAAGTCAGTGAAATTAGAAGATCCAAAGTCAGCATACAAAATCAGTAAAAATTGTATATACTAAGAACCAATTTGTTGAATGTTATGAAAGTAATCCCATATACAATAGACACAATTAAAATAAAGTGACTAGAAGTACATGTAATTAAGGCTGTAAAGCATATAAAAATAAAATATTGAAGAAGTGAAAAATAAAACAAAATGGAAAGGTTTACGATATATATGGATTAGAACAATTAAGGCTATTAAAATTGACACACTATCCAAATGACTTGCATAATCAACACAATTCCAATCGAAACCTCAGTTTTATCCTTTGTAGAAATAGTAAATTTCATCCATCTTTATGTTAGAATTTCAAAGTGATAACATTTCACATGTCCCTATATACATATATTCTACCTTGATCATATTGAAGCCTCTATTACTGTTTTCCCAAGCCTATGTTAATAAGTTTCATTCCACATAATGTATAAATAGACCATATTCTCCCTTCTTCACTGTCTCCAGTACTCTTTCCCTACCCACAGCTGCCTGTTTCCTAAATTCTATGTTACAGTGATGAAATGATACTGAAATAAAGTGATTTATTTCCATCTTATCATGAGAAATATGAACTTTTTTTGGTTTTTGAACAATTTCATACTTTCAATTACAGTTATTCTAAGAAGTAAAAAAATGATATGTTTCTTTCTTTAACAACTTGCTAAAAATATTTTGAAGAAATGCAATAGTCTTTTATTACAATGATACACATTATATTGAGATATCATTATGTTGTAATAATATTCAAATGTTCTTTAAATGTGGTGAACAATGATCTATATCTGGATAACAATATTGTTTTGTACATAAATTTCATATCCCCTTCACACAGATGATCATTCAGGATCAACAGTACAAGCTAACATCAGTACATATGTCATTAAATATGTCCTG